TATAAAATAATTAATCAAACTTGTTCGTCTGTAATCTAATCTATCATTTATATTAATGTGTAAAGTGTAACAAAACATCAGGTACCTTAATTTATATTTTAATACCGACAAGACAAAAAGAAGTATATACTGCGACGCGAAAACCTTCCCCTCATCGGCAGACACCACGTACCGGTCCGAAGACCAACCGCACCTGTAGCCGGGCTACCATGGGGGCCAAGTGGCCCATGACGGGCCTGGAAAAACCCGAATGCTCCGGACCGCTCGACAAACCCTGGGGAGGCGCCAGCCAGGTCGGGGCGTCCGCGACGCACTCCCCGAAGAGAGGCCGCTTGACCCCGCCCGTTGCCCGCGGGGAACCTCGTGGAGGTCCCTCCCCTGCACCCGCGTGGTGCGAGCATTCGTGCAAGGCGCCAGCTGAGACGTAATGCTCCAGCGTGGTTCGGCGAGCTTTCCCGGCTAGGTCGGGCGGGAACCCGATCCATCGGCCGAGTTGACCCGGCAAATATAGGATCGGTTATCTCGCCTATCGGCCCGTACTAGCTCACCGGCCTTCTTATTACGGCCGGTGGGGCCGGCCCCCAACCCGCACCCGGAAAACCAGGACACGGGACGGCTAACCCGACGTACCCCAGCCGTCCGGTCGAGAAGTATTCCCATGATGAGGGCCACCTTTCGCCGGTAACTCTAGGGGGAACAAGAGTGCGATCAAACTCCGCAGAGTGAGCATCTCTCATGGTTCCCCAGTAGCCATTTGCCGTTTCGTTACGGACCCATGGAATGGGCCCGCATTCAGCCTCCACCACGAGGAGGTTTACGGATGGCTCTTGGGCTCGTGGGGGCCACCCTCTCGTGGGGGCCACGTCGTTGCCTTTTGGAGGCCCCCCCTCATCGGCAGTTGGTCATACGCTTGGGAATTCGCGTACCAAAAAGAATCAAGCCTGATTTTTGGCTCTTCCGGAAGTCCGATTTCTATAAGAACGCCAGATGCGCACATGTGCACCTTGAACTTCCGGTACCCGGTAGCCGAAACAATCAGACCTAGCCCATTATTTTGGACCGACTGGCCGCTCAACCCCGTCAGGACCTTGTACCCTTCACGGCACGGTAGAGTTGGGTTCGGTACGGAACAGAATGAGTGAAGGTGAGTCGGCCTTGGAATCTGTGGAGCCGGAAGGTATATGAAATAATATTGAATGGAGTTTTGCGATAAATAGTCCCTTTGAGAGATTTATTGTAACATCCTACGGAACACGTGCACAGGAGCTCGTTACAGGATTTCCGTGACTCCACCTACGAAGTCGGGAACTAGGCACGGAGCTCGAAAATTAAAATATAAAAAAAAACGGAAACGAGAGGTTAACCGATAAAATAAAGGCACGCGTCCAAGAACTCGGGCACCCCGGTAGGAGTTCGAACAGGGTACAACACCCTAGCGGGAAGACCTAATAGTTGCCCCCAAGGGCCTCGGTAAGAGCCCGATACAGCTCCTTTCGAAAGCGGCAGCACTGTGACGTCCTTTGGGAGATGGGACGATCCTTCGGTACGCTGGTCGGAACGCAAGGCGCTGCTGCAGACAGGATGGGACGTTACTGAGCTGATACCGGCACGGTAGTCCCTCTGGCAATGCCGGTTCCACCGCAAGATCTTCCGCTCAAGGGTCGCCGTCCTCCTAGTGGGCCCCGCGAAACTCCTTACCGGGCTCCGGCCTGCCATCTCACCTAGTCGAAGTTGGTCACTAAGTCGTCTAGTTAGGTCAACCGCCGGGCGATCGCAGTAGGACCTCAAAATTCGGGGTCTCACGCGCTTTCCGCGATCCTGTAAATTTTGCATTCGCGCTACGCCTGCGCATAGCTACGATTGTCGCAAGTTTGACATATATTTACCATTAAGAAAATATCTTAACCTAACGATCACCAGAGGGACTCCTCCACGCTCCGGCACCGAAAATGTCCTTGTGACCGCAAGTTTGACATATATTTACCATTAAGAAAATATCTTAACCTAACGATCACCAGAGGGACTCCTCCACGCTCCGGCACCGAAAATGTCCTTGTGACCGCAAGTTTGACATATATTTACCATTAAGAAAATATCTTAACCTAACGATCACCAGAGGGACTCCTCCACGCTCCGGCACCGAAAATGTCCTTGTGACGAACAAAAACTTTGCTACATCACAATACATACATTAGGAAACTAGTTGCTGCACACTGTAATCAAGAAACTCGTAGTATAGCATGTTGAGCAAAACACGCTTGAGTTAAAGAAATACCTTACTGAGTATCTATGTACTGCGACGGGAATTCCTATCCCTGGTCGGCAAACAGTCATACGCCCGGTGTACATTAGCGACAAGGGTGTCGCGCCCGATCATCGACTCTTCCGGGAGCCCGATTTATTTAGGGCGCCAGGTGCGCGCGCGCACCTCGGAATCCCGGTACCCGGTAGCGCGAGCAAGCCGACTCGGTCCGGTCGACGGGACCCACCCGGGCGTATCCGACCGGCCACTCAACCCCGCGAGGACCTTACGCCCTTCGCGGCAAGGTAGAGTTGGGGGGGTCGTTATGAAGGAGGCACGAGTGAGAAGGAGTCGATCTCAGAATTCGCAGGAACGGCAAGGTCAATGAAAGAATAAAACCAAAGTTGCGACAGACAAGCCCTTCGGGAGATTTATTCCGTGAAACGGGACCCTACCACGGAAGCGCGTCACAATACCATAACGACTCTACGCACAGAGTCGGAAAAGGGAAAACTAACGCAAGGAACTAGAAACTGAACGGGACCAATTCAGCAAAATAAGGTACGCGATCGAGAAAATCAAACTCCCCGGTGGAAATTCGAAAAGGGCACAACGCCCTAGCGGTAGGACCTTTTACGTGCCCCATCGGACCTCGGTAAGAGCCCGGTGTCTTCGGTAATTGCGCAACAGGATTCGGCACCGGCTCGCGGTATGGTCCGTCACCTCCCACCCACTCCGACCTGCTTACCAGCAGCCACGGTAATCACGAAACATTATTAATTCCAAAACGACAACGACACGGGGCGCTATACACTCGAGCGGGTGGGAATCTCCACCGCCTGAATTCCACAATAAAAATTTCAAACACTTTCCGCGGCCCGCCACGCTCGTAAGAGGCGGGATCGGTAACCGGAATACCCTCCCTAGACAAGTCTCGAGGTACCGGCCCGAAGGCCAACCGCGCCTAAACCATTGGTTTCTAGCGGCACCCCGAAGGGTATACGTAATCTCACGTCACTACCGCCCCCACTATCAGGGGGGTTGTCCCATGACGGACCTGGAAAAATCCGAATGCTCTGGACCGCTCGACAAACCCTGGGGAGGCGCTAGCCGGGTCGGGGCCTCCGCGACGCACTCCCCGAAGGGAGGCCGCTTGACCCCGCCCGTTGCCCGCGGGGAACCAACGTGGAGGTCTCTCCCCTGCACCCGCGTGGTGCGAGCATCCGTGCAAGGCGCCAGCTGAGACGTAATGCTCCAGCGTGGTTTGACGAGCTTTCCCGGCTAGGTCGGGTGGGAACCCGATCCATCGGCCGAGTTGACCCGGCAAATATCGGATCGGTTATCCCACCTATCGACCCGTACTAGCTCGCCGGCCTTCTTATTACGGCCGGTAGGGCCGGCCCCCAACCCGCACCCGGATAAACCGAGGACACGGGACGGGTTACCCGGAGCACCTCCAGCCGTCCGGTCGAGAAGTATTCCCATGATGAGGGCCACCTTTCGCCGGTAACTCTAGGGGGAACAAGAGTGCGGTCAAACTCCGCAGAGCGAGCATCTCTCATGGTTCCCCAGTAGCCATTTGCCGTTTCGTTACGGATCCATAGGGATCCGCATCCAGCCCCACCACGAGGAGGTTTACGGATGGCTCTTGGGCGCGTGGGGGCTGCCCCTCCCCCACGTCGTTGCCTTTTGGAAGCCACCCTCCCTAGACAAAAGGTCGGCCCGCGACGCTATCCGGGAGTCGCAGAAACGGACGGGATCGAGAATTACATTGCCCAGGTCTGAACGGACTCGCGGCCATCACGGTGCGGTATCGGCTCACGGCTCGGTATTGGACAATGGCGGTCTAGAAGGCCCCCTGGACAGGTTCGAGCTCACCGGTAAGACGTTCGTTCAGGCCGGGACAGTCCCCTTTTTTTCAACGGCTGCACCTCGGCGTAACGGGACGGCACCCATCGGGAGCGGCGGTAAGGCGCCCTTCGGAACCGGCGGTATGGCGCCTTTCGGGACTCGACGCCGAGCTGCAGTCGTTGACGGGACGGGACGACGGGAGAAGCGGCTGCGATGACGGTCCCTCTGGCAATGCCGGATGTGCCGGAAGATCCTACATTTAACACAACTTTTTAACAAACAACGAACGACGGTTAAAATCTTGTGAAGGTCACTCTGGAAACGTCCTTGGCAACATATGTCAGGGTCATCGGAGATAGGTCCCCTAAACCCCACGTTTACCGCAAAATGTATTGATAATCGTGTTCAGAAGATTAGCTAGACCAGTAACTGACGTCCAATACCGTATGCTGACCGAATTACCACAGTTTTTGCACTGTGTACAATAATACGTGTTCTAAAGTGCTGGTGTGTAAATGGTCCGTATCCAAATGCACCGTACTCAGTGGAACCAAAACGGATCGTTTGGATGTATCCGCGACGCATTTTCTTGAGTAACTCAATGGCAAAACTCAATTGAGAAGTCTATTACATATTTGTCCCTCCCAAGTTTCCAATCTGTGAATTAGTCTGTCAACGGTCTAAATGACCTCTGCATACTGGCCCCCTACGTGCTTTATTTAATTGGACGAATGCGAAAGAAAGCTAGATTGATATCGAACTCATGTCTTGAAATTTAAAGATGATTATTATACATATCGTTAGATTTTTTGTCTACAGCATTTTTAAGTTTGGTGCCAAAAGCTGTATAATATTTTCAAGATGTTTCCATGCTTGTGTTGCAGTAATGTATTCTTTGATTTTTCAGAAGAGTATTGTATGAGTCAAAAAATAGAAAAACCAGTGCTGTCAGGCCAACGTATAAAAACAAGAAAAAGAGGTAACGTAAACTTATACGAGTAAGTTCCACTGGCATGTTATATAAGAATGACTTGAATAAGTTTTTGTCTGTTTATGGCAGATGAAAAAGAGAAGTATGACCCAACGGGATTTCGTGACGCAATCTTGCTCGGTCTGGAGAAGGCAGGTAACGACCTAGAGGCGGTCTTTAAGTATTTGGACACCGCGGGATCCAAACTGGATTACCACCGATATGGAGAGGCGTTATTCGACATTCTTATAGCGGGTGGTCTCCTGGTTCCTGGCGGTTCTATCGCTCTGGATGGAGACAAACCCGTTAAGACCACCGTGTGCGTCTTTGAACAATCCGAGGACATGGAATCCATGCGGAATTTTGAACAGGTCCGATGTGTACTTGCAAGTATCAAAATTTTTTGGAATGTTTACGAAGGTCGTTAAACAATTCTTTATTTATCAACAGGTATTCATTCACCTAATGCGGCGTTATAAATACCTGGAGAAAATGTTTGAGGAAGAGATGAAAAAAGTACTGGTATTTATGAAGGGCTTCTCACCAAAGGAAAGAATTAAGTTGGCAAGGATGACGGCTTTATGGATCTCAAATGGTTCAGTTCCGCCCACTGTACTTGGCGTCTTGATCAACGAGCATCTTGTTAAGGACAATCTGGCACTGGACTTCTTACTAGAAGTATTTGTTACTTGGAAACAAGAGAAGGGGTTATCCAGTTTGATGACAGCCCTAAAACGGGGTGGTATCGAAGGAAGGTGCTACAATATTACATACTTTTTTCGTTTGCGTTTCAAATACTAGTTTGAATCATCAGATTAAGGACAATAAAACAAACTCACAATCCCTCTTTATGTGATGTGAAGGGTAGCTTTAAACGGTCAGTTACGCGAATACACTTTTTTTTTAAAAAATGGATAAACCTATTCTTTAAAAATTTTACATAATTATGAAGGTGCTAAGACCGTCCCTGACACTAACAAGAGAACATTCCCAAGTGTCCGCCTCCGATCTTATTGAGTTTCATATATGTTGAAGAACACAAAAATCTAAGAGACACATGTTTTTTTTATATCTGCAATGGTCCACAATTAAGGGGTTAAAAAACCCCCCAAAATTTAGCGAAAAATCGTTTTTTTTTTATATATANGTAAGTGGAACTTAAGTAGGAGTGCTTGTTTAATGGATATTACAAAAAAATGTCACCTGAAGGGTAGTTCACCCCCTTGAGGGGGTGCAACATTGCTGAACAATATTGTGTTGTCACCGTCCTTATACAGAATACGTTTATGCAAAGTTTCGTCGAAATCCCTCCATTGCTCCTACGAAAAATATTTAAAAGAAAACGATTTTTCGCTAAACTTTGGGGGGTTGTTAAACCCCTTAATTGTGGACCATTGTAGATATAAAAAAAAAACACGTGTCTCTTAGATTTTTGTGTTCTTCAACATATATGAAACTCAATAAGATCGGAGGCGGACACTTGGGAATGTTCCCTTGTAAGTAAACAAATTTTTTTTGGAACATTCAAATTTTGAAAATGTCAGGATAATTCTTAGGTGCTCGCGGATAATGTATCAAAGTTTCGGACAGTTTGGTCCAATACCCTTTAAAAAAATGTGTCTTATTCGAATCGACTGATTTGAAAGGTGTTTCACTTCACCATAATTTTCCAATGAATAAATTAATGAATTGAGTGGAAAGTTTGCGCTTCATCCTTAATTATGACCGCAGAATTCTACCACGTCACAGTCCATGTGTTACCAATTCAGATAAAAGTTCAATGATACATTTTATCGTAAAAAAAAATATATATGTAAAAAATTTCAAGTGAAAAAAATGTAACCTCGTTGAATCATGTTATCGCATTTTAGGCTAATGGAGTTCGTGCCACCGAATAAGAGAACAGAGGAGTATTTCCGTTCCGTATTCGAAACCGTTGGCTTGGCGGATATTGTAAAATTACACAAGGCTCAGGCTAGTCAAGAAGCGAAACGAGATCTTCAGCAACTTTTATTAGACGACCTAGCTGACAATCGGCCGATTAAAGATATCGTACTCGATCTCAAAGAAATGGCGCAACGAACTGGTATACCTGAACACGAAGTGATTGGATTAGTGAGTATTTCTCTGGAAGCCGGTAAAGAACGTTTCGATAAAAAATATAAATGTGTTTTTATCGTAAATATGCATGGATTTTAGATTTGGACCGTTGTTATGGGCCAAGCGGAATGGAACAAGAAGGAAGACTTAGTGGCCGAGCAGGCTTTGAAACATTTAAAAGTTTACACACCATTGTTTGGTGCTTTCACATCCACTGCCAGATCTGAACTTGCTCTCATCCTGAAAGTTCAGGAGTTCTGTTACGAGAATATGAACTTCATGAAAGTCTTCCAGAAAATCGTTTTACTCTTTTACAAAAGTACATACCAACTATATATAATACACATGCCACCGGCAATTGATTACGGTTGACTAGAGTTTTTACGATCCTTCATTTGTATTACAGCTGATGTTGTTTCGGAAGAAGTAATCCTAAAGTGGTACAAGGAAGGGCACTCAGTTAAAGGAAAAATGCTGTTTTTGGATCAAATGAAAAAATTCATCGAGTGGTTGCAAAATGCCGAGGAAGAATCCGAATCCGGGGAGGAAGAAGACTAATTTTACCTTGGTAAAATGGATAGTTCAATACGTGCATTATTTAATACTATTTTCGTGTTTTACATATTGAATATATTTACATTTGCAGGGCCACACACATAAAAGCAACAGTACCGCAATGCAGTAAGTCAGTATTCTGTTCGAATATTCCCAGAATTCTCGAATTGATATTTGACAGCAAAACATTAATGAAAAAGAATTTCGAAATAATGCAAAAAATAACTTCCATATGGAGGACTATTCCGTGAGATATTCGTGAAAAATGAAATCCTGTTTAAATTGTTAATAAAAAGAAAAAAAAGGAAAATACTATGATCTATTATCATTGGAGAAAAATTGTAAATTTTGCAATATTTCTGAATTGTAT